TGATAGAATGACCACTTTTAGAAGACTCTCTCCATTTTTGGTACAGACTCTCCTGTGAACTCTATTAAAAGAGATTTACCATGCCTGAATGAACAGTAATTAATAAATTAGCTCATGCGGGAAAGGCATTCTATTTCATGTATTTAGTAAACGTGACATAAAATAGTGCTGTAGAATCTCTTAAAAGTTTTGTTTTGGATCAACTTGCAAGGCTTAGAAAGTTTCCCAGTTAAGTCTCTGCTAAGAAGTTTTAAAATCTGGAGAGCTTTAATTTAATGAGATATGCTTTATTTTTATGTATCTAATTCCTTGATGCAGAATTATTATAAACCATATTTTTCACACTTTTTCATTATTTCGTAATAGTTTAAAATAAAATGAATGAAGAATAATATATTTAGCATTTTAATAATTTATGGTTATGAAATACTACATGAAACACCGGTTTTTTTTTCTGCGTTAAACACGGCTCACTTCCAAACAATAATTTTTCAACTTTGCACTTATTTAGATTTAAGAAAAGCAGTTATTCATCATTGAAATTTCTTTAATTTACAAAATCAATTATTGATTAATTTTTCAATATGAATTAGAAAAAAAACTTTTTAGCGGATTTTGAATTTTTTTACAAATATAATTAATCCACTAATCTATCAGATTTTCCTTTGTAACTATTAGACTGTTTTATAATGAAAAATTATCAAAATATATTTTTGCTTCAGAGCGTTAGAAAAAAATAGTGCATCCGGGTTAATCACCGGGACAGGTCGCACGGACAATCGAAAAACACGGATAATCCGAAATTTCCTTTTATTAAAGAAAAATTCAATATCAGTACAAAAAATATAAAAATTACTGACATTTGCATGCATAACATCAAACTAGGAATTTTCCTTATTAAAAAATGTGTAATGCGTCTTCGCCATATATCAATAAACATATTTTACGAATCGCAGTAATGTCACCGTAATCAAATCCTCCCATATAATCTAATAAAGTTTCCACAGAGCAGCGGAATGAGAAATTGTATTTCATTCATTTACTACATCTTCGGCATCAGTTACTATCATCATTATTTGATTTAACAACATAACGATGTCTTCATCAGTCAAATACTGGAAGCCAGGCTCACATGCATCACTTTGAAACCAATCTTCTAAATTTTCTTCTTAAAGAATTTCGAAACCTTAGATTTCTTTTGCTTGTTCGAGAATACTGTTATCATATTTTTCTTGAACATCTGAAGAGGATTGTTCATCAAGCGGTATCATCTTTCTCCACGATCGTGATAACGTAGACGATTTTCCATATCATCCATAACGTAGACGATTTGTTCCATATACTGCAATCCAATAACGAATATTGCTTTCCAAAAATTTGGTAGTGTTATAACTTCATGAATCAAATTTTTTTAATCTTGAAAATGTTTCTCTTTATATTTTTTGTGTGACTCCGGAATGAGCACGGATAATCCGCAAACCGGATAAACCGCGCACGGATAATCGAGAGTATACTGTATATATGAGGACCACCTGTGTCCATCTCTGCCGAAGGATTAATACTAATCATATATCTCAATTTGCGTATGTAGCATTTTAGGATTGAAGAATAAATTTCATTTTTATTTATTTTATTCGATTTAATTATTTTTCAATTTATTATGTGGAAAAAAATTTAAAGCTACTCTTTTTGGATTTTATATTATTGTACAAATATAATTAATCCGTCAATCTATCAAACTTTCCTTGGTAACTATTAAACTGTTTTTTTTTTTTTTATTTAGAGAAATACCAAAATATTTTTTTGCTTTAAAGCGTCAGATAAAAATATATAAAAAGGGCACCTGTGTCCCATCGGCTCCAAAAGGTGAATAATAATCATATATCTGGATTGCGTATGCAATTCCAGGATAAATTTCATTTTTATTTATTTTAATTGATTTATTTATTTTTCAACTTATTATGTGGTAATATAACAATCACGAAATATTACCTGAACCTGAGCAAGTTAAAACATTGATTGACAATTTATTCCAAGCTTTCTTTAATTAGTTTTGGATTAAAATGATGCTTCAAAAAAAGGACTCATCAATTTTTATTTTCGAGCTTCTTTACAATAGCTTATGCTATAAATTAACGTCTAAAATAACTACATTTAGTCCCTTCACGATAATAAGTATGACATAAAATCGCGATGAAATATCTTTGAAAAATTTTGTTTTGGATTAGCCGATAAAACTTTAGCTTATTTTTCTTTATCTTCAAAGCTAAATGGGATTTAAAGCTCTGTATAATCAGATTCAATTAATTTCATTTTAAAAAAAAATTTTATAATACTGATAGACATTGATTTCATGCATACAATTTTAACGCTACAGAATTACAAATATTCCAGTTTTATATAATTCATATAATTATTAATATGTATTGTTGTCCATTTATCTACATTAGTTTTCTAATTATTAAGTGGCAATATAATAATCTAGAAAAAGGCATTTTTTAATGGCTGCTTGAAGAAGTTAATTCTTTAATGCACTTTCTTTACATTTATTTCAAGCATATTACAATTTAAATTTGGATCCAAAAACAATGAAAAGGAAAATTCTACACACTTACATTAAAAATATAACATTACAGCTTTTTTTATTTTCGTAAATGTTATAATAGCTTTGCTACACCTTTGGAAAAACATCACGAAACTATTATTTTATCCCTCCATATATATAAGAAATTTGGCATACTGATAGTTTGAAACACAAGGAAGGTCAAATTGTTTTATTTTAAGCTATGGACGATTGTACTTTGTATTTATTATTCTAACTATAATATGAGTGATATTTGCTTGCTTACTGTTTTATTTGATCCAAAGAAAAATAATTTTTGCACGTGTTTTGATATTTGATTATTTTTTATTCAGCATGCCAGATAAATTCAATGAGCAACGTTAACGCGGTAGCATGGATGGATAACATAGCCAAATTAGTATTTCTAAAGTTATCTGGAACCATGTATTTATTTTGTTTATAAAAACTCTTTTAAAACGTCTTTATAAAAGTAAATTATTGGAAATCAACGGAAATGGAAAAGAATTAGTTCTGTTTTGAAAGGCAAAACTAATAGAAAAGTGGTACTAATTTTCTAAGGAGAAAGAAAAAAATCTCCATGCTATTATCGCCTCCAATAATGTAAAATTAATTTAAATAATGGACGCAAATTTTTTTTCATTTTACAACCGTCGTTGAACAGCCGATCCAAATTTTGCGTTTACGACCACTAATGTTCAACTCCGTAACCTTGTATTTTTAAACCCAATCCAGACGACAAGGAAATTCTTGAATCAAGTATTTGGAGAAATTTGCTTTTGTGGAGGACTTTTTTATTGAACTAACACGCATTTGCGTTACATGGAGAGGAAAACCACGAAAACCTCCCACGGTTAGCCTGGCGGCAAGGGGACTCTAACCCATGATGCGCCTACCACTAAGGATATTTGACGTTAGCACTGTGGTCGGTGCAAGAAAGACGCGGAATTCGTATCAACCAGCCATAGTTGGGATTCAGTGGACAACCATTCAGTGGACAACCAGTAGCAGGTTCCGGAGTGAGAATTCCGTCACCGATGAACCGCAGCCAGCATAGATGCATAAACCAGGTGTCAACTGTGTAGACCCATACGCTGCAACGTACGCTGAAGCGTCATAGAAGAGACCCTTGGTTCATCTGGGTGATTAGCTGCTCAACGGTTGCACGTCCATTCACCCGAACGCATTCTTCGCAGCCATCGTTCCCATTTGTCATCTATGGACCACGGCGCACCACGTTTGCCACGTAGCTGATTTTGGATAGTGCTATTTTGGAAATGCACCCCGTATACTTTCGCCATGGCGGAATGCGGGCAATTAACAAAAAATAGCCATACTGGAAATGCTTCCTCTCTCGATCCAAAAGCCAATGATCATGCGATTTTTCGACGTTGGTTACATCGCTCCGTTTCTGCATTACGCCAACGATTGTAATGTCCTCCAAATTCCTCAGACACCCTTTATATACACTCCTCTGCAATGTGTTGCATCCTGCCTACTCTGAGTGGTAACTTTACTCTGACGACGAAAATAGGTGGTAGTCACATTGAAGTGACGAGACTACGTATTTTACATGTTAACATCATTTAAACTCATTACAATTGGTTATCTGTCATAATATACAATGCCAAATCACAAACCGGCGATGTATAGAAGATGATTATTTTAAAATATGTATCCACTTTGCGTTGTAAAAAATTACTAATCAAATTACAGTAGAATGTACCGACACTCTGGGTGATAGGAAAATTCCTTTTTTAGTGCAAAATTTTAAGGAACAAGAAATCTAATTTACAGTAATATTTACTGTAAAACCAATGAATCTCTGTAATTAAATTATTATCACTGTTGAAATAAAGCTATGAAATTTTACGGCAAAAATGGATTTTACCGTAAAATAGATTTTGCAGATCATTGACTGGCTTTTAGAAACTCAAAGTAATTTGATTTGAGTTTTAGTTTCACGTAGCATCCAGGTGCAATAAGTATTTTATTGCATTTTCTAGAATAAGTGTACACGATTGTACACAGTGCGCTGGTTCATTAAATACGAAATTTCAACTAACAATATTTTATTTTAACAATTGTAAATAACCAAAATCCACTATTACAATGGAAGCCACGACTGGCTCAAACAAGAGTTCAAGAGAAACTGAGCAGTTCACAACAATTGCTACAGATGGCGCTTCGCCTAAGACCGAACATGCCGGCCCCTTGAAATATTTAACATATTTCAACAATAACTAATATGCATTGAAACTATGAGAATCACAATAAAATTATTAGAAATATTGATTTCAATTAATAGAATAAAATTATGGACTGTAGAAAAATATTTGTTCCAATATTAAATGAATGCACAATTCCAAATTTAAAGGAAATTAATAAAATAACAAAGATACAATACAAATATAAACAAAAAATAATTCAATGAGGTTACAATTATTACCAAACTATTTATTGTCCTCAATAGGTAAAATACTCAATTTATGAATTGGTCTTTTAAATAAACCTTTAGGAGTTCGCACTAAAACAACCCTAACCTTTTTATCTTTGCCAGCTATAGTTTCTTCAACTCTACCAATTACCCAATGACATACTGGAAGATTATCTTCCCTAACTAGAACCATTGTACCAGGGGTAACATTATCCTTCGAAAATTGCCACTTAGTTCGCTCGTGTAAATTAGACAAGTAATCTTTTTGCCACCTTTTCCAAATATTTTGAGTCAATTTTGTAACTCTTTCCCATCTAGACAATCTGTTATCTGGAATTTGAGTGATTTCGGGTTCTATGGGGGCAGTTATTGGACGCCCTATTAAAAAATGACCTGGCGTCAGAGCGTTCATATCATTTGCATTTGTAGATAATGGGGTAATTGGTCTAGAGTTTAAAATTCCCTCTATCTGCGTAACAAGGGTCAAAAATTCCTCAAGGGTTAGTTTTGAAATTCCAACTGTCTTTTTAAAGTGGGTTTTAAAGGATTTCACTGCTGCTTCCCAAATACCCCCGAAATGGGGGGCCCGTTGCGGTATAAATTTCCAAGTAACCTCTTCTGTTAACAGATAATCAATTAATTCTTGTTCCGGGGATTGAGC